ACGTACTAACAAAAAAAGGTCAAATAAGCCCTTATATAGGAGACTCTGTCCGGCCGTCGCCATTTGAGGCAGTTTCCGGTGTAATTTTTTCATGAAATTTTTTTAGCATCTTAGTCACTAAATCTAGTTTACTCATACCAAATTTTAACTAACAATTCAATTGGGAAGGCACCCAAATGAATTCTTGGAGATAATTGCGCTTTTTTTAACAAGATAATTGCACTTTTAACTGCGCAGTTATCTTCAAGAAGTCATTTGAATGCCTTCTCGATTGGAGTTTTAGCTGAAATTTGGTATGAGTAAACTAGACTTAATGAATAAGATCATCAATTTTCACTTTATTTTTACTTTATCAATTGAAAAGTAATCATATAAATTAAATTCCTTGTGTATCAAACTTGAGGTTGATAGTATGTGCTCAAGAGATTGACAACTTGAGTTTTGAAAAAAATGAGGCGATAGCTGGATAAGTTGTTGGGAAGGAAAATTAGCAAGATATGAACAAGTACAATGAAAACTAGGATGTTTATTTTACTTGGACTGTAATTTGCTGGTCTGGTCTGATTCCTTTGTATTTTTATAACTACTCAAGTCTGATCTGGTTTAATCTGGTCTGCGACAAATTACCATCCAAGTAAAAACATCCCTCCAATCCATTATAATTGCTGCTGCCTGCTACTAATATCCAATGATTCCAATATTGCGTATTGCATAACCATGAATGGCCTTCCCTTCCCTTCAATCCATTCCATGCAGCTGATAATGTCAATTATGAAGTTATGCATTCTTTAATTATCAGGCTGAGATTTCAATTCTTTCAGTGTAATTATTTCAATTTCTTCATCCTACCAAAGTACCAAACCATATGGGGAGAATGATACAAAGGGTTGAAATGTATCTCCAAATTACCCTCAAGACATCTAACTATTTAGGATGTTTTCTTTTGGACTGAAATTTGCAGGTCTGGTCTGGTCTGTTTAAGTCTGGTCTGGTCTGGTCTGTTTAAGTCTGGTCTGGTCTGAACTGGTCTGGTAAACGTCTGGTCTCTGTGTATTTTATAACTACGGAAGTCTAGTCTGGTCTGTTTAAGTCTGGTCTGGTCTGGGACCGAAAACCGTCCAAAAGAAAAATAGATAACATCCTTATTCATGTCTAATCCTGTAATCCATTTGAGTCAATCCAAAATCATTTACCAGAATCTGAATCATTACATAAATTCTTCTTAAACATATCATTATGAATATTATTACACTAAAAGAGTAATAAGCAGTACTCCGTCTGGTTGTTAAATGTTAGTAATGCTGTTTTGCACCATTGATCAGCACTAATAATGACAGTAATAATAAATGATTTAAAGAACTATCAAGAATTCTTTGTAATAAAAAAAAAACTTTTTTCCATGATCAGCACTTTTTGGGATTCATCGCCCGTTGAGGGAATCCAATTGTTCACTTCCCGTATTTTCATTGCCGCCTTCACCTCCACCAGTTTTGTTCGTGCTCTGTTCAGGTGAAGAAGAAGAAGCTTGGGCAGTTTGATTATTAGCCGGCGGTGCGGCGGCGGCGGCGCTTTCTTCCTCGACAGCGGCTGCCGTTCCTATGGAAGAGTTCTCCTGCAACTGCAAAGCATATTCCAGATTCCACAACACATCTCCCATGGAAGGCCTGTCATCACCATACTCCGACAAACACTTCTCCGCCGCTTCTGCGAATTTCTTCATTGATTCCGGGTCAATCTGACCCACAAGCGCCGGGTCAATGATCTTATCCAATGACCCTTTTCTCTTCCACTGCATCGCCCACTCCGCCAGATTCACCTGCTCTCTCGGAAGCTGCGGGTTGATCGCCGGCCGGGCGCACAGAGCTTCCAGAAGCACCACTCCGAACGAGTAGACGTCCGATTTGTCAGTGAGCTGTTGCTTCCGGAAGTATTCCGGGTCAAGGTACCCGAAACTGCCCTTCACGGCCGTGCTGACGTGAGTCTGCCCGGTCGCCGGGCCGTCCTTGGACAGCCCGAAATCTGCCATCTTCGCCACGAAGTTCTCGTCCAGCAGGATGTTGGTGCTCTTCACGTCGCGGTGGATGATTCCTTGGGCGGCTCCGGTGTGGAGGTAATGGAGCCCGCGGGCCGACCCGATGCAGATCTCCAGCCGCTGTTTCCATGTTAGGGTTGGAAGGCCTTTTCCGTAGAGATGGTCCCTTAAGGGCCCGTTTGCCATGTATTCGTAGACCAGAATCATCTCTTCGTTCTCGTCGCAGTAGCCGATCAGGGAGACGAGATGGCGGTGCCTGAGCTTTGAGAGGATTTGGATTTCGGTCTGGAATTCGTTGATTCCTTGCTCCGATTGGGGGTTTCCTCTCTTGATTGCGACTTTGGTCCCGTCGTCGATTGTTCCGAGATACACGTTGCCGAAACCCCCAACGCCGACAATCTCCTTCGGATCCCAGTTTTTGGTAGCTTCCTGTAGCTCTGCGAAGGAGAAGAAGCGGCCTAATCCGGTGGATGATGAATAGAACTGGTGGCTCTTGCTCTTGCTGCTCATGAAGGTCGAATCTCCGGCGTGGATTGGAAGCAACCACGACGAGAAGCTTTGTCTCCTCTGCCAGTTTTGGGGCCTCTTTTGCCATTTTGCCGCCATTGCGCCTAACCCTACAAATGCCCCGAACATCATTGCGAATCCAACCGCTGCAGCCGTCTTTCCCCCGGCGGAATGCCCGTCCGCTGCCCTCCCGTCAACTCCGTATTCCCCGTCCAAGCTCCCTACTGAGTTGTTCATCCTGTACACCTCCAGTCCGTTGAGTATCGCGTTCTTCATGCCTTGAGCATCGTTTACCGAACTGATTTTGACCTTCAGAGGATTGGTGACCATTGATGAGTTTACCACCAAATCCTTGTAGAAAGCTGTTGCTAGTTTCCCATTCAGAGTTGATAAGTCCAGACCGGAAATCGCCATTTTGTCGTTTATGTAGACGTTGAAGTAGAGCTCGTTCAACGTCTTGCTCACGATATCGCAGAAATGGAGGCGGACAAGGTATGTGTAATCGTTGTCAATTTCCAATTGCCAGGTGACATTGAAAATTGATTCCATAACTCCAGAATCTGCCATTTCCACGGCCGATGCATAAACCAGAGGTGGAGCAATCAGAGGGGAACCGCGGCCTTTAGGGTAAGATATAATCCCAGGCGAGACGGATACGTTTTTCCCCATTTCCTTAGGGTTAAGGTACTCTGCGTCGGGTTTCCAGCTTCTTCCGAGTGTGTCATTTTCGGGTCCTATCATTGGTCCTCCTACATTGAGACGGTGAACGGTTTCAAATGCATTGCCTGTCAACCCGAATTGTTCGGAAACAGGGAAGAGCAGAGAGGCGGAATCACTGATCAGCGGCTCTGGCGCGGAGACGAATTCAATGGCATTGATGAATGCTATTTTCCCTGCTGGCTTGAACGTCAACGGGAACCGTTCCGTCGTGACGTTTACCAAAAACTCTTTCACGCACGGGTCGGTGTTGTTGGCCACTTCGAATTCCCGGAGGAGGACTAATGTCTCGGTTACAACCGAGAATCTCGCCGTTTTCAAGTCATGGCCGGCTGCATTCAACGGGTAGAAATGGAGTCGTATCCAATGCAACCCCGGGGAGGTGACATGGAAGGTGTATGTGGCTTCGCTGAGGAATACGTTTGCATTGAGGTATATGGCTGGGATGCCCTTACCGTCTGCAGGCGGAATCGAAACCTGAATCTCGTCTCCGCTGTATGTCAAGTATTTGTTGGTGTTCTGGTCAGGCTGGAAGATTCTTCCACCGGGAAGGGTGGTGGAGGAGGTGGCACCGCAATCGAGGAGGTAGTTATCATGAGGAACGAAGGTTTCGAACGCTCTGGCGGGAAGAACCATGAAGTCTTGTGCATGAACACGGATCGGGTCAGCAATGAAGACGGAAAGAAGAACAACCAGGAGGGTCACCATTGTAGGCGGCGGTGGCAACGCCGGAGAGGAGGCGTGGGTGATGAGAGAGGATCCTTTTCCTCTTCTATGCTTCTTTTCCATCTCCTGCCCTCCCGGTGAGGAGGAACTATGTATGGATGATTTTTTATATATGTGGTTGATCGATCAAAAGGGAAATACAATTCCTGAAACTATTAACAAGCCTCTTTCAAGTTAGTTATTTAATCAATAGTTGTTTTTCACTTTTGTTTTTCATGGATGAAATGGAAGAGTGATTGTGATGCTGTAATTTAATCTGGGGCTTCCCACTATTATCGCCATTTCTGTGGGATGGGTTAGTGGCTTAGACCTTCAAGGACCTTTCTATCAAATGTGTAATTTTTTGGAAAAATAAAACCAGCACAAATGAGCCCAAATAGCATATCTAAATGAAACTCTCATGCCATCCTAAAACTCAAACAGAGAATAGAAGTGTAGCTCCCACTCAACTTTTTTATTTTACAAATCCTTTTAAATCTATTATAATATCTGCTCCAGTTAATGTCAATATCTTTGATTGAGATTAGACATGAACCTGTAACTTCCTCTTTGAAATATCACAATGACTTTTCTTTTTCACACACTAAATTTTTGTGATACTAAAAACTCAACCTAATGTTTCAGATTTTCAATGAACAAAAACCATTATCCATGGAAGGAGGAAGGAACTTTTCTTCTATGAAATCAGACAAATTATATTCCACGCCCCCACACTACATCAAGTCAATTCCAAAAGCATAACTAACCAAAAGGAATCACTTCCAAAACTCCCCCAAACACCACAAAGAAAACAAAAGGATGGGGGTCTAAATCAATCAAGTTTGATGGGTATTATTTGTACAATTTTGTGTAGACCACCAACTTGATTTACACCACCAAGTTATACATAATGGAAGGATTCTCTGTAATAATGGCCGAGTTCCTCACTTTCCAAAAGCATGGAATGTACACCAGAGCACCAAACGCAGTACTTTGAAAGAATAATAACATGGTAGGGATTAGGGTGGGCAGGGGGCGGGGCATGTGTGGACTGGTATTTCAGGGATAGCAGTTAGCAGGGGCGGCAGCGTTCTATGGCCATGGCGACGATGGTCGCTGGTTGGCGGCGGTGGTCGCTGTGGTCGGCGATGGTCACTCCGAGATGAGTCACTGTAGTATTGAGTCAAGTGAGAAGATGTGTAATTGTCCTCTTGCTCACTTTTGGAAACTTAAAAATTTCTCTTTATTGTCCATTAATTTATTTTTAATAACATTCTTGTCATTAACCCCTAAATTTTTACATACAAAACACAATCATTTTTTAAATTTGGGGCTAGCTCCATTAAACTCTCTTTTGAAACACTTGATGAGATTACTTGGAGTACATAACACCATTTTAATACCAAATGGCGCGAATAACATATTTCCTTCTCAGAGAGAGGAGTGGCTATGGCATGGGAAAACCCTAGACGCCGCCTCCTTTTCTCTTCTTTTCTTCTCTTCTTTCAATCTTCTTTAATTCCAACAATGGAAAATTATCGTCTTAATCAGTGTTTTCAGTTCTATTCATCTGTTTCTTTCCCAACATTGTTTGGAGATATTATTTTCGGTAGCGAAGTATCGTCTGTCAGATGCATCTTCCCCGCCACTTTCGGTCGGGCGTTCTAGTGTGCTAAGAAGATATTTGCACTGATCACTTCATCAATCAGAAATATGATTGTCTTCTATGCTGATATTGAGACGGATCGCCCCCCTCTTGAACCACCGCCGTTGCAGGAAGATGAGATCATTTGTATTGCTTTCTTTCCGGTGGCTGGTGAAACCGGAACAAATTCTTACAGTTGGCTCCTTACCGGTGGCTGGACAAACCGGGATGTTTAAGAGTTCATTTCATAATTATTGTGATCGTAGCAGGAGCAGTCAATATGTGATAGAGTCTACTTCTTTGCGGGATTAGCGATTCGGCGTTTTCGATTTGAATCGTCCATTTCTATGTCTCATCCTATTGTAGCCTTGAGCTGTATGATTGTAATGTTTCTTGTCATCTTTATCAATAATAAATAATAATTAAGTTGTTTGTTTAAAAAAACATATTTCCTTCTCGATGATAGAAGTAACTGAAATTAAAAAGATGTATAAATTCTTTCTTGAAGAGTGTTGTAGAAATAACATTTCCATGTCGAAGTACGTACGTATCTTTTACAAATGAAACTCATCCATAGTTTACTTGGGTTTTTACGCTTCAAAAAACTATGTGTACTTTATCTCACATTACATTCGTCTCATGTCTCCTAAGATTGGGACAAGATGAATGACATATATATTTATTAAGAAAAATATAATAACGTGAACAAAGTAATAATGAATTAAAATCAGACCAATATTACCAAGAACTCTACGTGGGAAACTTAACGAGACATTTAAAAAATGGGACATGAGCAAGGGGTGAGAGGGAGTTTTAGCTTACCATTGCACCATTACAAAGATGGGTTCAAAGAATCAACATGTTCTAAAATGACGACATTTTATGTGTGTTTGTGTATGTGTGTGTTAGGGCAGGGGCGGAGCTAGGGGGTGCCCAAGTTAGGCCCTGGCCCACCCTAAATTTGAAAAATATCAATATTTTTAGTGTAAAAAATTTTGTGTAATTCTTTTTCCAATAATATTCTTTGTACCGGCCCAGTCTTGCCCAATAGGTTACGCCCAGGTCCAAATATTCCAGGCGGCCCGGTTAGCATACAAGCCCAGTTTCCCAGTTCAGGAGCTCAACCAACATACCCACACGAGATTCTCCAGCCGAGCTGATCTTCTCACTTGGTTTCTTCTCTAGATCCATTGGGGGGAAACACATTTAATGCAACCGATATGAGAGATTTTCTGATTAAGGGTTATCCATTCAGGGTTGATCACATCACCCCCTCCACCTACTACCTTGCAATATAAATAGCATCATTTATTTCATTGTAAAGGGTTGACAACTTGTATACTTAGCAATAAATTCCATTGTAAATGTTGACAAGCTTGATCTAGAGGATCGGAACTCGGGCTCGGCGTAGGTGTGTTGTAATTGTTATATGTGTCTAATAGAACCAGACTCACTTTGCCTCTTATTTCCTCACTATTACATTTGCCTCATTCTTGTCTAACACACTCAGTAGCTAATCCATCAAGAGAATCCAATGAACGCCCAAGGAACCGAATTGAGCCTTTGGATAGCGAGGACTTAATCTCACCATATATACATGTATTTTAGGTATTCGTACTAGTCGGGTGAGAGAAGCATGAACCCTATCTGAACCTACTATTATCTTTTTACCACGCCACGCCCATCGGGCTGGTTGGTCCTCATGTCGGATTATTCGATCTGAAAGGATTGAAACTGACAATTCGCCATCTCAAATCCAGTTTGGTCTATTATGCTCCCCTATGTAGGAGATTGATTACATTTATGATTGTTGGGTCTGAGGCTAAATATAAAAATTGAGTCGCTTGCTGCGGTAGAAGCCAATCTATCATGGAAGATAGAAAAAATGTCCAAATGGGTAACTAATTTAGCAACAGTTTTATTTTCTAGAATTAATATATTCTTGATTGGGATTAGATTCAAACCGGTGATCTTCTCTTTAGGAGATCAACAATGATGGCATCCCCTTAAGAAGATAGTATTCTGTATATATATATATTTTGATAGAAAGAAGCTTAATTATCATGGAGTCATTGTCAAGTACACGTAAAATGAAATAGGGAGGAACCAAAAACTAGAAACAATAATCAATCAAAGAACACGGCGCTTGTACAAAGCCCTAATAGTTTAATATGAGAAAACGTGATTTGTGAAAATTTTGATGCAATATCACGCATGTCAGCAACCAAAATTTTGATGCTAAAGAAACACTCGTTCCATTCATAATTTCCTAAATAGCCCAAGAAGCATCCAACTCCACGTCAACAAAGTCCCAACTCTCAACCTTTATCTTTCACAATTAAGAGCTTCTCTAACACAGTAATTCAGCTTCCCACAGAGACATAACTCCATGCCACACTTTCGAAACCCCTACAAGAAAATCACATGTCCCATTTCTTAAAATCCAACCGAGGCCACAACAATTACCTCTAACCGTTGCATCTACATTTAATTTACCAAAAAGAGGAACCCGGTGAGAAAATAAATCTCAGGTGAGGTTCTCCTGTTCCAACCAACCAACTTCCTTTGACACCGGACATGAGATTAATAGATGAGGCTCGACATGCTCGGTCATTGTCTCTCATTACAAAGTTCATGTTTTCTATGTTATAACATTCCAATTTTTTCATCAACGCACAACTTTGAACGTCAATATATTTAACTATCAATCAGTCAAAATATTTAAAAATTCAGATTTTGAAAATTTGAAAGTGACGAATTCAACAATATTATTCAGGAAAAGAAAACCTCTTACACTATTATAACAAACGTAATTAAATAGACAATGTGAATATTATAAAATTAAACATGTTGCATCTACAAAATTGAAGGACAATATAGAACATATTGAAACACAAAAACACAAATAGGAGTATTACTTTACACCGTAACTTACACCAGGAATAATAAAACTTGCATGTTTTTTCAATTAAATGGAATCATCTGGAGGCACTCATGCACCATAATGAGCACATATTGAAAAGTAAGAATCATTCCGATAAAAAATGTACATGAATTAAAAACCAAAAATATGAATTATGAAAACCTTTTCTAAGAAATTAATCAAATCATGTCACCAAATATATACGCATCTTGTTTTGACAATGTGACATTACATAAAGTTGATTACTGGGCCAATCCAAAAAAAGCCAATAGCTTAGACCCAACTGCTAGATGAGCCCAATTAAATCAGGTATATAAAGAAATGAATATTATATACTCCGCATCACATTCTCTTGTTCCATTTATTCATTTTAATTAATAAAAGGGGCCCATTGACGCAACAAAAAGACAAACCTAATAACGAATTGTTCATTTGCTAACATTATTTATTTTAGATAAAACAAGAAATGTGGGGATATATAATACACATAGCTTCTTCTACACCAGAGCACTAAAACGACTAGATAAGTAATACGGAATACAACCCAAACACAAATATATGTAGTTGTCAATTGAATTTTAATACCAAATATTAGGTGCTAATCCACCACTAATTATAAAGGCGAATCACTTACAATGTTTTCACTTGAAATGTTTTGAATTCTTCATTTTGGATCAAATTAGATTTAAATATCAAATAAGAATAATAACATTTAAGTTTAAAAAATACTGTAAGATTTAAATAAATTCTAATAATACCAAGACATGCCAATAATTACTCATAATTAGGGTTATTTAAAAAAACACATTATGATCAAACAATAAGCCTTAATTTTTTTGGCAAAACTTTCTAACATATTGTAGTATCTGTTCTATGGTAAGACCAACATTCTCGAACTGGGATGTAATTTGAACCTATGACTTCCTCTTTGAAAGTGTCATAATGATGTCATCCGACCACAAGGTACTTGGGGCGTAGGGATGACAGTCGTGACCAATCCGATGATACCCGCACTGAACCGCCCCAGTCAAAACGGGGAAAATCGCATTATCCAAGTAACGGGTATGGGGTGGGGAATATCCGTTTTGTTTTTACGAGTAACGGGGTGGTTACAGTTTTGTACATGCCCGTCCTATTACCCGCCTCGTACCCAAGGGCGGAGCCAGAAAAACGTGTGAGGGGGTCAAAATTTAATTATTTACAGCATCAAAATGGAGGATCGATATAAATAGTACTTGACTTAAATGTTTCATATATGTAGCTGAGATAAATGATAGTTTAATGAGACCTATTCAGTTATTGTGTGTATATATATATGTCATGTATGGAAAACTTCACACAAAATTATTGAGTGAAAAAGGTGTTTTGTTTTTAAATTTAAGAATAAAATCAATATCACACATCAAAGTTTGCTCATTTGAAGTTCGTTGATTTTTTCAGAAGTCGTAACTTTTTACTCGAAATGAGTTACGGGGCCTATAATATATCAAATAAAAGGTAATTCAGAGCTCTACATTCTCGAACTTTCAGCAGGGTCGGCTGACCACCCTGACCCCCGGGCTCCGCCGCTGGTCGTACTCGCCCCGTTTGTTTTTAGGTATATTTTTATTACACTTTTATCTAATATTTGTCCCACAACTAATATAATGTGACATTTCTCTCTTTACTGCGTATATTTGGAGAATGGATGTACTAGCTACAGTGTGTATGAATAAAAGTTCATAATAGTTTTAATAGTTTTGTTTGATTATTATCAGTTTTTTTTCATGATTAATTACGGAGTATTTTTGAGATCAAGTGTTTTTAGGTTTAAATTAATTTATACTGTCTTCTTTCTCGTATGGTAGATATACAAAATTTATAAGTGATGTCTGACGTTTAGAGTCTTCTACACAATGCCATTTTTTACCTTTTAAGATATTCATTAATTAATACGGAGTAATTTTTATATTAACGTATGAATCACTCATTTAATAAAGTGATTACCCGCGGTTATACCCGTTACCCGTTGAGACGATTATGGATTGAAAAAATACTCATTAGATAATGGAGCGGTTACGAGGCGCAAAAATGATCCAACAGAACTATTACATTTATATGCATAACCGTACCCGATTCGCCCGGTTGTTGTGTCTACCAGGGGCCTTAAAATATTGATGCATTTTGAAGTATAAACAACCATATCGATGCAGTGTATGTCAATAACGTCGTTTGGGTTGCCGGTTAGGGCAACGCATGACCATTTGGAACGGAGACTGACGGAATAATAAACCGTCTAGACAGACCCCGTAACCCATTTCCGTCTCCAGTCCCCTCTCGGCTTCCACCACCAATACAGCCGCGCATGATAATCACACCTTTTCTCACTCTACTTTCCTATTCTATATTATCACACCACACTTTCTCATCTATCACGACTATCTCTCGCCGGATTTCGATCGCAGAATCCATTTTCTCCGATCACCTCCGTTCCTATTCCATTTCTTCTGTACGGACGATACTCCGTATTCCTGGTGAGGATTATGTGCCTTTAGATGTGTATATTTGGACATGTGTGATTGATTTTGGATAATCCTAGGGTAAAACGGTTATGGTTATTAGGGGCCCTGTATGATTTTGTGGCAGTCATTACTGTTTTATAGAGACATGAATTTCGGATCTCTTTGACTCCCGTAAGGATTGGGTACTTTTTATAATACGAGTAACAGGTTCCCGAGACCCGGATTTGCTCCTTGTGATGTCTGTCTTCTCTTGTTAACTGGCTAATTGTTTCAGTTTTAGGTCCTCGTTTCCTCTCCTGTCATCTAGGGTAATTGAAATTATGTTAATTTGGCTTTTGTTTTGCTTCAAATTAGTAATTTATCTTATTCTTTATGCCGAGTAACGTCTGAGATTACGTATTTTGAGCTGCGTCTATACATCTGGGAATATTATGTGTGAAGTGTTCTGGGAGATTATTCAACTGTTTCACAGATTCAGGGTGAAGGACTTAATTTAAGAACAGTACTTTGTTTGACTTCCATAATTGTTATTGACGTTGTAATATCTCTTTCATTTAATCAGTCTATTGATAAATACTACTCGTATGTAATAATTAATCTCTAACCATTACAAAGTCAGTCCTTCTCTGGCTTCCCTTGAGACAAAGATGATTTTCTGAGGTCTTGAGGTCATGATGGACTAATGAGGGTAATACTAGATGATGCTTAAAATAATTGAATGTTGCTATCTTTGTTCAACTTGTTTGTCCTTGTTTAGAATCATGATCACTGAAAGTGTTGGTAAAACTGTTGGATTTTATCATCTATTTCATATTGGGATTTTGAGATTCTTCATGTGCTGCTTCTTGCCCTTTGCTTATTACTGCTTGATACTTTTATAAGTTCCCATTATATTTGCTTCCGGAATGATGTGGTTTGTAGCAAGAAATCGCTACCTTCTAACTTAATCAAAATGCTGCAGTTTCAAGTGACTTTTGACACATCCAGATTATTTTTTTACGACAAAGAAGCTCCTTTTCTCTTATAAAATACTGCATATTTTTGTACCTGCATGCTTCTTGTCTAAATTTTGTCAGTCTGTTTCAGTGTAGTATCAACTATGCCTATCTGCCAAAATATGATTGGTTGTTTATATTCATTTTTCTCTATGTTGATTTCAGGTGACTATTTGTTTCTTTTGTGGAATGTTCATTGAATAACAGCTTGCTTTCAAGTTTCAACATATATTACTCCTTGTAGTTGATCATGGGATCTGCTTGCTGTATAGCTGCAAAAGATAGAACCACAGCAAATCGATCTACCCGTGATATTTTGCACAGGAACGTCAGATATTCACCATCTTGGAGCTTTCGTTGGGATAATCGAGGGCGAGTAGTAGGGGAAGATACCACTTTTAATTGGTCTTCTGATGGAGTTAGTGGTACTGATAGATTTGATTTTAAGTCTAGGACAACAGTAGAAGCAGTATTTGCCTCCGAAGAGGGAAGTCCATTGGATAGTTTCCGGTCGCATCCCTGGCAGAAGTCACCAACATCTGAAAGAAATGGTGAAATCATATCACATCCTTCATCAGGTAATACCTTGTGGTTCCCCCTTTTGGTATCACATTCTTTTGTTTTCTTATGTAATATGGAGTAAACAACTACTGGAAATCTGAACAGCTTCAGAAATCAATCAAAATATTAAGGGCTGTCTACTTACTAGATAAGTGCAATTTTATCACTTAAGATGTTACTCCCTCCGTCCCAATTTGTTTTGCAAAATTTTCTATTTTGGTTGTCCCAAAATGATTTTCCACTTTCCACTTTTAGTATACAAACATGATCAAAGTTACAAGTTTGCCCTTTCATTTATATTTCTAATTTTTCATCTCCACCGATTCAATTTGAAGAGGATTGATTCCCACCACACATCTCGATCCCTCACACGTTTCCCAACCTTTTCCACCTGTTCGAATCAGAAAATCACATCACCCATTTTCACTTATCTCTCCATACTCAATTCTCAAATCAAGCACCACACCCCTCTCAAATGGAGTGTTCAAGTGAAATCCTTTTCCCCAATTTGAAGACAAAGAAGGAAAAACTAAAGGTAAAGTATCTTTACCAGCGAAGATGAAGTACGAAAAACTGACAAACTACATACTTCTTCTACAAACCCCATTTATAAATAAAGAAACGTGAGGTTGGACAGTACATGAAGCTGTGAAGAACCCCATTTACAGTTTACGTTTTACGGTGAAGCGGAGAACAAAAGGAGATCGAAGTGGCACAGTAGAAATGCAAATTTCCTGGGAAGAGCTGTGCAGTCTGTGCACTTCAAATTACCTTAGATCCATAGCTCAATGTAGTTCAACATACGGAGTATCTTATTTTTCATCCTTTTTACTTTTGTTTTTAGCTTAGCAGGAAAAGGGCAAAATGGTGAAATTAATATCAACTTTAATTCTTTCTTAATTCTCGTGCCGGTCAACTTTTGCAATTCAATTCGGGACGGAGGGAGTATGTAATTTTGATGCTTTCTCCAACATACAATACTAGCATTTCATATGGTGAATTCTGCGCTCGCATACACACACATATATACAACATGAGATCTGGAACAAATATGAAAACTGAGAATATTATTCTTCTGACACATTGCTTTTGAAAAAACTGAGAAACGTTACGGGATTGAGATAAATTATTTCTTGGAAGCGTTGAAGTGAAGTGACTAGTAAAGTGAAGCCTTTTGGAAATTTTTACCAAAATCAATTGGCAATACCAACTTCTGCTAACTAGTCCTAAGCAATTCACTATTTCACAAGGCAGAATCTATACCAAACACTCGAGATATAATTAGTAGTTTCTCCATCCCAAAATGATTACCACTTTTAACTTTTCTTGGTCAACATAGTTTTTGTTTATTATGTAATTTTGTGTTTCAAACTTTTACTGTACCCGAGTAATTTTTACGATTAAATAAATCTTAGTGTAGTTTCTAAATGTGTAGTTTTTAAGATCAATACTAATACAAATATTATCATAGACGGTTTAACTTTATCATGAGCCAACCTTAGAAGCCGAATATTGCATATCAGTTTTAAAAGGAGGGTGTATATCTGTTGTGAACAGAAAAAATAAAAACAACGGGGTGAACCGTTGCTTAGATAATCAACGATAAATAAATATCGTTGCCCAGAGCCAAAAGGCTAAACCAACTTTTATTCCAAGATGAACATAAATGAATCCTAACAAGGGGTTTAAATACCCATCTACCAATTCTCAAACTAGGAAACAAAATCCTAGAAATCCTAATCAACTCCAACTAGGAAACAAAATAATAAAGATCCTAATCAACTTCAAATAGGAAACAAATAATATAAATCCTAATTAACTCCTAATAGGAAATAAATATTAGAAATCCTGATTAACTCCAAATAGGAAACAAATCAGGAAAATTAAAAAGAATAAATATTAATTAAACAGCCCGCAACCAGCCCACGAAGGTGGGCTAAGGCCCGTCCCCGCCTTCAGTAAACCCACGGAGGCTTCTGCCCCTCTTCTTCCAAGCCTAGATTCTGCTTCATATCAATATCAGACAGTAGAGAACTCTGAATCTGTTTATTAAAAACTCGCAATAAAAAGATCAAATCTAAATTGGAATTGTGGTTCGAACAATGTAACCTTGTCTCAGTATGGACATTTAAAAACAATGTTGATTAAAGTAACATCGACACAACTTTTTGAAGTACAAAAAGTGCTTGCTTTGTTCTAAAAAAGAGAATTGAACTGCATGAGAGAACACTTTAGTACTTTACAACTAGGGATGCAATCGAGCCGAGCTAGAACATAGGTATGCTTGAGCTTGATAAGAATTCACGAACTCGAGCTCGAGCTTGGACGACTGGACGAGTTTAATAATTCGGTCTCGATCTCGGGCTGAGCTCGGGTCAAGTTTTGATAATTACTACCTCCGTCCCCCTAAGTTTGGGACAAAGGGGTGTGGTGTGGTTTTTAAGAAAAAGTAGAATTGTGTGGTTGGTATTGAATTGATAAAGTGTGAATAAAGTAATAATGAAGTCTAACCACTCAAATATTACCAAATATGGTATGGGACAAACTTAACGGAACGGACGAAAAAGGTAAAATAGGACAAAGTTAGGGGGACGGAGGGAGTAATTATTATACTCCCTCTGTCCCTAAATAAACTTCCAACTTTCCTTTTTCGTCCGTCCCAATTAAAACTTCCACTTTCCCTTTTTGGCAAAGAATTTGTGGTTCACAACAATTCTTACACATTTCTCTCTCCTCTGCACAACTCTCCACCACACAATACCCACTATCTTAAACTCTGTGCCAAACCTATTTGGAAGATAAATTAGGGACGGAGGGAGTAGGTTTGAACTCCAATATATAAGAAACTCGAATCGAGCTAAAAAAACTATTTTCCAAATTATTAATATATATTATACATTTTTGATACACAAAAATATATAATATGTGTACTTAATCATTCTCGTTTTTAGTTTATCAATAAACATTATAGATATTAATCCTTTGCTGACATTTTTATTCCTTATTTTACTATCAAGAAATATTATGTAGTAGATATTGTAATTATTATAGATTATGGTTATAATAATAATAGTACGTACATACACTATAATATACTCTGTGATAAGTATTGAAAATGGAGCAGTCCTAAATTAGAATACGTATTCCAAAAATGGTATATATATAATTATTACATATATAATTATTATATATAAAGTATAAAATATGACACAAAGGCTCGCGAGCCGCAAGCCTAAAATAAATAGCCTTGAATCGAGCTTGTTAACTATTCGAGTCGAGCCGAACTCGAGTCGACCTTGAATATGACCGAACCCAAGTAGAGATATTCCCGAGCGTTCCACGAGCAGGTCATGAGCGGTTTGACTCATTTACATCCCTATTTACAACTATTGGTCAGTAAACTCTTTTATTTGGATTTAGCTTTGTTATCATATTGTAGGGAGCGAGTACTGTTTGTGTACATTGACTGAAACAAAATCATCTTGGTGTATGTTTGTGGTTCTCTTTTGCTAATTGGTATGAAAATGGTTAACCATTAATAACTTCCACTCCATCTGTTACTTTGCTTATGTCGTCCTTATCTTTGCAGATCCTTTCGTGGCCACAAATTCTACAGAGGTATGAACGCAATACTCCATCACCCTTATTTTTCTTTAATACGATAGTATATGATTAGTTTGGATGTTCTGTTTTTTGTTTGCTTGAGATGCATTTTTTCTTTCTGAGTTCAAAATATGTTTCTTTCTTTAATCTGAATTTAGATAACGGAGTCAACAAGATCGCCTGCAGTAACTTATCCTTCTCCTGCACAACCAGCCTCACCTTTATCTAATGATGAAAGTCAACAGCTTCCTTCTGTGAAATTGGCTCAATCAAGTTCACTCATGCTCCCAGGTTGGAGCAATGAATCAAATCATGGTTCCCATGGTGGATCATCAGATGGTTGGTCCATTCCCACATTTCATGAATTCCTACCAACTCCTCCCCGTAGAGAAAGGTGGTCTTTTGACAGCGAAAGCTTAAGTTTTTTTTGTGGGAGAACTCCTGGTTCTCCCTCTTTAGATCTCAGAACATGTGGTATTTGTGTCAAACTATTAACTGAGAAATCCTCATGGGGCGGTAGGAAAGCAATATCCTCTAATGAAATTGCAGTTGTTTCTGTCCTGACATGTGGGCATGCTTTCCATGCCGAGTGTTTGGAAAATATGACATTGGAGATCAACAAGTATGACCCGACTTGCCCCATCTGTACTCTTGGGGAGAAACAGGTGTCTAAGATGTGCGAGAAGGGTTTGAAAGCCGAGATGAATTCGAAAGCTAGAAAGAAATACAGAAATCGAGTTGTGGACAGTGATTTCAATGGAAACCTTGCAGGCATGTTAGACGTGGGAAGGTGTCCCAAGACAAGCTCTTCAAGCAGGCCATCATTGAGACGGCACTTTTCATTTGGTGGATCAAAGGGGACGCCAAGATCATTGTCTGAGAATGATCCTGCTCGCAAAAGGGGTTTTTTCTGGACAAGATCTAGCAAGGAGAAAGCTTCTTCATGGGCACCACAATAGTTGAGCAACATCTCTGTATTCTTGGTTTTCTTTTTCTTGTGTTTTCACCTGCCATTTAATCATTCCACTATACACTATTACTCAATATGGTAATCAACGTTATTGGACTCATTTTGGTCTTTAACCATGAAATTCAGAGCCATTAACTAAATTCAGACCCAATGTTGGTCAACTGTGTTCAAGTTGACTTCACGTGTAGCTACTTTACAATCGTCCAGATGGATACTAAATGATAATGTTCATGTTCATATATTATCTGGATGGGTGTTCGAGTATTAAAGATGAAGTAATTCCAAGGAAGATAGACCTGGAGTATGTAACTTGGATCTATCTGTCTTCAGAGTACAATTTTTTCATATTGGGTAGGTTGAGTCTAAAATTATGTCATCGAGCCAAATTGAGTAAAAGTGTATAGTTGAAAGACCTAATGGTGTATTACCTCTAATTTTTCTTGAAGGCCATCTTTTCTTTACTTTATTGCGGTTGGTACTGTTTGTAAGATGTTTTGTTTGTTTTGACATCATTTCTACCTCTATACAGAAACTGAGAAAGTGAGCAGGGCCATCTTCTGATGCTCTCTGTACCTCTGCTGGTCATTGGAGGGCTGGAAAGGAGTTGAGAACCTCACAGGGGGTATGATTAGGTTGCTATGTTGTCAGATTTAGGTTAAGCTTCTGCAAACAGAAAATAGAATGTAAAGTAGGGGAAGAAGAACAGATCGAAGGTTCCCATAAGAATATGAAAAAAGATAAAGCGGAAAATTACGTTGCTTAATTGTATGTCATTTGTTTTGTGGGTTTTAATTTATTTATGTACATTTGGTTTGGTTTGGTTTTGTTTGATAAATCTCAAGTGCATGAATTATTGTAATTGATGGCAATTAGCATTTTCATCGTTGTCAGTAAATGAGGTGTTTGAGTTTTTTTGGGTACAAGGAAAGGAATGAGGTGTTTGATTGCAATGGGAAAAGCACTCCAAGGAACTGTCTTGTCAATTTGACAATTTGTGATGGTGATGCTTCCGTGCCCTGCTCAAATCAGAATCTATTTTCTCATCAAACGTTATCATTGAATAATGACTGAGTCTACCTTGGAGAGTGCATTTCCTATCTTAATTCCTCCCATTTGATTCCAAATTGAAAAGAAAAAAACTCTCCCAAACAAATTTCCCTTTTGTTCTTAAATTTGGAGGGTAATTTTTTGTTTTGTTTAGGTCACTCTATTTTTTGTCCAGCCCAGTTCATCTAAAGTCTTGAATTTGTCCTTGCTTGTCATGTGTTTTTTTAAAGAGGCTTCTTTTATTTGTCTCATTTCCATATTAATGTATGTAGTGTTGTTTCATGTTAGAAATCCATAAAAATTCACTGAAATCCATCATTTTTAGAATTTTTAATTAGGGGCACTCGTAATTGAAATGAAATGAGTGGAATTCTTCATTAGGGATACTCGAAATTTATTGAAATTCTCAAAATTCTGAACCAAGGACATGCATGATTTTCACAATTTTAAAATTCATGAAGTTTCATATTGATTTACGTTACGTAAATCAGTAAATGAGTAGAACATATTAAAAAATGAATAATTATGGTACTGCAAATGAGCATAATGAATAAGTTGGTTTGTGATGAATGTATTATCGGTATGATTTATAAAAATGAGTTTTATGTTGAATTTTAAAGTAAAAAAGAACACCTTAAAAATGCACATTTGAAATAGAAGCATGTGATAGGCCACCACAATACCACATGAAATGAAATAGGCACGTGTGAATTAAGTAAATTAATAAGGAATACTCCGTAATACATTAAATTAAAAATCTCTCATCTGTCTCTTTAAAAAGGCCACATATGAATATATGATCGACCGTCACATAAAATGAAATATTTGGCCACATATGATTGATCATCACATAAAAATGAAATATACACATGGATAATGGATTGATGAAGCTCTCTACATACAACGAAGGCGTAGTCTGTTCCAGTCTTTAATTATATTTTTAACATGGAAATTAAAGTGATTAACTTTGACTAGTCATGGACCCGGTTCGGGCCGCCCGGCCCGGTTCTCGGGTCCGGGTCGGGCCTAGGCCCGGTGGGGGGGGGGGTCCGGGCTCGGGCCTTGTATTTGGCGAACCGGCCCGGCCGGGTCGGGCCCAGGCCGAATTGATTTTTTTTTTTTTTTTTTTTTTTTTTGCATTTTTTGGGGTTACCCGGGTTGGGCTTGATGGTTAGGAGGGGTTTGGGGGGGTGGGGGGTGAGGGGGGGGTTAGGAAAGCAAAAAAAAAATGACCAAACCGAAGGCCCGGCCCGGCACGGACCCGGTGGCCACCCGGGCCGGTCCCAGGCCTTCCTTCCAAAAAAAAAAGCCCGGCCGGGCCTGGCCCGGAACCGGCCCGGGTCCATGACTGACTTTGACAATTTTATTATATTTTACTCGCACTAAGGAGGGTCTTAAGAAACACAAAATATATAAACATATTACATATTTCAAATAAATACTCGTACAATATAATTTTAAATTCACAATCAAACCAATCAATTGTCTCATATGTACTGCTACGTATTCATATGTACTGTCTCTCAATGTTTGTCCTAATTTGACTTCACAAATATTAAGGAAATGAATTTGACTTTACACTGTAGTGATACTGTTTGACACTGTAGCGACACTGTTTGACACTGTTTTGCACTATTTGACACTGTTGATAAAGATTTGTTTGCCAGATAAGAAAAGAAAAAAGTAGGACAAACATTTTGGGACATCCATTTCGGGAAAGTAGGACAAACATTGAGGGACGGAGGGAGTATAATACAAGAATTTGAATCTTCATTCTAAAAAGATCAATGTAGTTGAACAAAACAAAAGTTAATTAATAAAAATCATAAGAAAAGTAATTTGTTCAAACATGATTAATGGAGTACAACAGTAGTAATATATACGGAGTATAAATTTATTACACACTTCACCAATTTTCTATGATCATTTTTATTATTTGGTATGATTCAAGTTTTTGATCTATTACTTGAGATTTTATCTATTAATTCAGATGTTTCAGAGACTTCTATAGTTCTTTTTCATTGTACAATGTTAAATTGTACTAGTAGTACTTTTGAATGTGTTATTATATGTTTTTCGCGTTAATATATGGTATTCAAGCCTATTTAAATTCCTCAATATTTTTTCTAATTTTGTAGGGCTACCAAAGTATGTGCAGGACGACTCCATCTTTCTTCAACATGGGAGTTCCATTGAAACCGAGGACCCACATCAATCTCTAAACTGATCTTTAATTCTCAAATCCATGTAGCAAGTATCAAGAATCTGCAGGTCCACTATCGAGGGAAACGACTCCAGCTACCACCGATCCAGGCTTACTCATAAGACGCCTCTGACCATTTCGAGCATTCTGATGACTCTTTCATCAGAGACGACTTTCTGGGACATGCAACCAAAAGTGATCGACCATCGTTCTCCAATCTCACATCCGGAAGAAATGAGCGAGTCTGAATTCAAGACATCGATTTGCTGCAAAGCAATTTTCGTAAACTGTGAAAATTTCTTGCCAACAGACAATATGTACACTCATTAGCTCAGACTTTATACCAGTATAGGAAATCTCAAAAGAACAAAAAGCACCACAACATGAGGCCTAGGTCACAGTCAAGAGATTTCCTTTAAGATTAGTTTCACTTCTCTTTCCCTTATTTCTAAAAAAATAAATAAATAAAAGCTAGACTTCTTAGGATGTTTTTACTTGGATTGTAATTTGCTGGTCTGGTCTGGTCTGGTAATATCTGGTCTCTTTGTATTTTTATAACTATCAAAGTCGGGTCTGGTCTGAACTGGTCTGGTCTGATCTGGTCTGATCTAGTCTAGTCTGGGACGAATTACAGTCCAAGTAAAAACATTCTTAAAAAGGAACAAGTACGTTGAAAAGTAAAAAAAAAAAAAAAGAACCAAGTAATATTAAAAATAAACTTTAAAATACCATATTAATAATAATGTATTCTATCAGGACTAGTGTGTAATTTTCCTATTTCCATTTATTATAAATATATATGACCAAGGCACCCAAGAGGGTAAGCCATTATTTCCAAAACTTATTATTTTGTATATGGTATCAGAATGATCGGCTCCAGTGCAACTTTATTGTGATAACGTCTCTGCATCTTACTTGGCCGTGAATCCTATTCAGCATGATCGGAGCAAGCATATAAAGATTGATTACCACTTTGTTCGAGAAAGAGTTGCTCACGGGGATCTTGTTGTGAAATATATTCCGACACAATTACAGTTAACTGATGTATTTACTAAGAATTTATCTAGTCAGCGTTTTGAATTTTTACGTACCAATCTGCGCGTTGTTTCCCCTGCACAGATTGAGGGAGTGTAATAATGTATTCTATTAGGACTTGTGTGTAATTTTCCTATTTCCATTTATTATAAATATAAGACCAAGGCACGGAAGAGGGTAAGCCATTATTTCCAAAACTTATTATTTTGTATAATTAATACTACAAAAACAAAAATTTATACAGAATATATATATAGGACCGACTAAATTACAAACAGTTGTCACGCTACTAATCTATGCCTGTCAATGGATCGTATTTGAACCTTGAGAGGAGTGTAGTACTGGCCGGTACTGTTTTTGAACTGTTAGATCATATAGTAAGAACCCACATTCCACTTTTATTTTCTCCTAACCTAAAAATAAAAATGGTTCCATAAACAAAAAAAAAATACCAAGAGAAATAAATAAGTGTAGGGCAGTGACCTGCAGAGGATGCTATTGTAAGTGAATGGTGAAACCATACAAGGAGGTAGTGGATCAACACTTTTCATTTTGCTTCATATAAAAAGAATACAGTTAATTAGTGGGAGAGATATTGATGGTTGCTCTTTCTGGGATCAGTATCTGATGTGATTCTGCAGAGGACTATTTGGATCAGAAGTCCGGCCCTCACTCTTTGGAATAATATTATTATGAAGAATTCAATGCAAGCTGCAGGCCAGGCAGGCTGGCCTTAGTCTTGGAATTTTGCAACTTGCAAGCATGCTTGATAGGCCAGCACTGACTTTATTAATTTTCACCCCCTCAATGCCTACATTTTAGGGTTTGATCACCTTTTCTTACCAATTCATAACTAATCCTGATATATAGTAATAGCTCCCTTCCCTAATTAAGCTTGGTACAAGATGAGGTAATATAATTAATTAATTATTAAGAATGATGAGGTAATATAATTATTAAGAATGTTGAGTCTTGTTATTGAATTTATAAAGTATTGCAAGAATAAAGTTAGAACGGTTTAGAACCGGCCACACAGATATCACTAAATTTGATATGGGCGGATCAATTTTAATGGGATTGACTGAAAAGAAAAAAGGACAATTTTTTTTGTGATGAAGGAAATAATGTATGACATTTAATTATCTCATTGGACATGGTCAATTTTATGTTAGCTAAGAAATAAGATAAGTAAAAATTATTTGGTTGAGAGTTGTCTAGATGAAAGAGAAGTGAAATGAGATAATCATGTACTTGATGAGGGAAAATTTAAGAATCTCAACAAATTATAGAACAACATAATACCGGCAGGATCACTTTAGAATGGCATGTGCATCACACATTGAAGAAATAGCTACAAATAAGGCTAAAACAAATACAAAATGGGCAAACGAGGCTAATTGTGTTTTGGTCTCAAAGTATGATTTATTTAATTTAATCCTATTAAGTTATCAAAGTTCTCCACAAGTCCACAACCTTAGGAATAAACGAGTCTTATCTTAAGAAAAAATAATGATACAATGGATCTATTTGTGCACTTCTCTAACTAAAAACCTTAAGTTTTCAACAAGCAACTATTATATCCATTTCATGATCTTTTACCAATGCTATTTGAGGTATGAAATTTTA